TGGTATCACTATATCCATTATGTTTAAAGTAGCTTTCGAAGAATGGGATAATTATCGATTTACAAACAAATAATAAAGGCACATAGCTGTGCATGTACGTATGTCTGAAACACCAGCTCATTTAAGCAGACATAGACTATATTTACATCAGCTAGGAAAGCAGTTGAGTTACAAACCAACATACAACACTCAGAACATACCCACAGTCATGCCGTTCAGATCTTCAGCAGCCAGTGCAGAGTTCCAATAAAAAATGGTGTCGGTGGTAATCTGAATATAAGATTATCCTTTCTTCCCTCACAGCTGCATAATTCCCTCCAAGCCATGAAGAGCTCTTCTTGTTTCCATATTGTTTGCTTGCTCCTTAAAGGTCCTGACCACATCTAGCTAGTTATGCATCAATTCACTACCAGGCAATATAGCACCAGCCAGCCTTTCTGGCCATTTCTTTCCCAGCATACCATTATTCTGTTTAAAAAGATTCAAAGGATGCTAACTACCCATGACATCTGAAGCATTCCTGGGAAGCAGGTTACTGACACTGAATTCATGGGAGTACCACTAAATAAACTTGATTTTACCACATACACTGTACATTACATGCCAATCATGCTATAAATTTAATAAGAAATGAGAAAAAATATACACATATATTTATAATTAAGTGATAAACTGGGAGTCCTGAGAATTGTTATTTTAAACACCTTTGGGTATAAGCATGTAGAACAATGTCATTCTGTGTCGATATAGAAGGTCTTTAATGTCATCACTAAATCTTCTCCTGAAGCAACTTCTGCCTTAAATGTGTTGTTTTTTTTTGTTTTTTTTAATGTATTAATGAACTGTGTAAAAATGTGTAGTTTTTTTTTTTTTATGAAAGTTTTTCAGGAATTTCCATAAAGGTAATTTTTTGCTTTAGTTTGTTTTTTTATAAGTGTTACTGGAGAAAAATTTGTTTTTTTTTTGCAGAAAAACTAGAAAACGATTTTCAGAACAAAACAGACAAAGAAAGAAGGAAATAAGGACAACGTAAAAGGTGTGAACATCAAGGAAGACTGGCTAGTATACAGCAGCTTGTCTCATAAACTGAAATATTTTGGCTGTATCAAGCACCTCGGCAGATTGGAAAAATAATAGCAGAAGGCAAGGTATCAGGAAAGAGAGGCTAGGGCTGATTAGCACAGAGATAGGCACAGGATATAAGTGACACCTTTGGTAGAAAAATGCACAGGGCAGGAGAGCTGATGAGAGACAATTCTTTTAGGCCAACCACGATGAGAGCGACGGTCTACAAAGATCCTGCTAGATGATGATTACTGGGCTGACAGGGTATTGTGTGTGGCTGTATAGCTTGGTTATCTTCTTTGTGAAGTGATAAAGCTATCTAACTCATGCTCTGAAGATTATATGTTTTGTTTAAGACTGGGGGTTTTTGTGGGGTGGGGGGGGGGGGAGAGAATTGTTAAAGAGTTGTCACTTTGATTGCAGAGTTTGTGTTTAGTGCTTTGTATGTTGTTCTCGGCAGGTGGCCGGCTGCTCTTGGCAGGTTGTCATTGGTTCTGTGGTGAGAGAGAGAGAGAGAGAGAGAGAGAGAGAGAGAGAGAGAGAGAGAGAGAGAGAGAGAGACAGTGACATAGACTAAGCCATATGGTATACAACTTTGTGCAATTAAATATTCCATTCACATTTAAACAGCTTTTTGAATCAGATATGTGACTTTTTTATTAAGAATGTGTGTAATATTATGTGTGCATTTGTTTGTGTTCATCTGCTGCAGATTCCAGCAGAAAGTCCTCATTTTCATCCATTTGTAGACTTTTGTCTCATTCCTGTACATGAGTTTTGAGTGCACATCTGTTTTACAGAGGTGGCTTATTAATGTGCAGTCTGTTGTTTCAGGCAGATGCTCTTCAGTTTTAAAGAAAATTATATGTTTTAAGGGTGGCCTACACAAGTTTATGTTGCTATGTATGTTCTTGTGTACATGGGTACTATACATTTGCATGAAAGACATCAAAATTTATGGAACGTAATGTGAATTTCACAGTAATAACAATTACACAACATTACAGCCAATATATTATGCATATGTTACATCTGGATCAGTAAAAATAATATCTAGCAAATAAAGTCCAAAGCAAGGTTTGTAGAATGTTGCATATGAATGAATCAATCAATAATTAACATCCTTGCACACAGGACATTTCCACACATGCTCTGTCTCCTTCGGCAGCAGTCAGTCAAGAGTCTATATGTTAACAGTACTAAATGCAACTTGATTAAAGTCTATGTTTTTCCCTCTGTTATTTTCTTCCAAGAATTTCGATGCCTCACAACCTTTTTTTTTTTTTTAATTGTGTATGTGTTATTACGGTGAAAGGGTTAAAAATAAATGTTATTTAAATACCACATTATCACAGCAGCACATTATCATGCATTCTTGATCCAGCTTATGAATGCACTGAGCAATACTGAGACAGAAATAGCATGGGGTGAATCCATCAAGCAATGTGAAGACAGAAGCAGCACGGTTAAATACTAAACAATGCATTAAGTCAATATTGAGAGGGATAGTGTCGTTAAAAGTAAAGGACCCTTTTCCAAACCTCCAAGCATTTTGGGCATATACGGCTAGGCATATATTTTATAGACCAATCAGCTCTTGGTGGGTGACATAGTCAGTATCACTATCACGCCAGCCACTTTTACTTCCCAGGACTTTACCTTGTACCAATTTAAGGCTGGATCGACCTGACAGCCAAGGTCATTTTCAAAAAAAAAAAAAAGTCTGGCTCTATCAGGATATGAACCCACAATCTTAAATAGCATAGCTAAATCCACTAAACAATGTTAAAACAGACACAGCATAGGATGAAGCATGAAGAAAAAAAGCGGCATAATTGAATCTACCAAATAATGTTGCAACAGAAATAGCCAGATTTAATCTACCTAAGAATGACAGGACAGAAATGAGATGTGCTAAAACAAAAGCAAACAAGCATTGTCAGCCAGACAGACAGACAGACAGACAGACAGACAGACAGACAGACAGACAGACAGACAGACAGACAGACAGACAGACAGACAGACAGACAGACAGACAGACAGACAGACAGACAGACAGACAGACAGACAGACAGACAGACAGACAGACAGACAGCCAGACAGACAGGACTTTTTCACAACTCTCACTATCCATATTATAAATAAAATCTCCATGCTCCTCCTAATGTATTCATTCACAGATCAAGATTGCCTGCTATACAGAAGAACATGTTCAACATAACACTTTAGAACTCTTTTTATTGAGTTGGCTATCCCTCTCTGGTAAAAAGTTTAAGCTGCAAAAGCTGCTTCAACTATGCAAGAGTCTCTAAAGGCTGAGCTGACTGTGGGCCTACTTCCCTTGGAGTAATCAAAGCAAACCAAAAGAAAGATCATGATGCATGGGCAAAAGATGGTCTCTATCAAACTGACCAGGTTTTGTGACTGGGTTTAACCAGTCATACTCACCGTCTATGGGCTATTTTCTTGTGCCTTCCCCATAGCATAATATATGGTATTTACGCGTTTATAGGCCGCAGTATTTTAACTGAAAATCATTCATGAAAAATAATATACGGCTTATATTTGAGATAATGTCCCACATAACACGTACCAATCTTCCATTTGTTTCATCCACATCAAATTTCTTGCCAACCGCTCGGTTTCCAATTGCTTGTGCATTACGTACTACTTACATCTTAAATTTACAACTGTAATTTGTTCTCATGCCACCTATCTTTCAGTTTTTGTCTGTTGACAAAATTCAAAGAAAATAAATTATTCCTAAAATTACCACCTCAGAAACTTTATGCCGCCTATACGCACGTGTAACCTATACTCATGTAAATACGGTAACAGTGTTGTCTGAAAAGATGGAATGGTGCCAACCAACTCTATCGGGGAATAATGGGTGAACAAGGTCTCAATGGCACACAAGGACTCTCTTCCTGACACTATACAGGGTCTCTCTCAAAAAGTGGTTAAGGTAGCTGCTCACATTTTGAGATAATTTGGGCACTAGGTTTTGGAATCACAAGTTTTGGTAAGTGAGCACAAATGTTTCAGAGATCCCATGATGGTTGCTACTGGAGATATGGAGATTAGTACTTTATACAACATGTTTAATAGGTCAACAGCTGGGAATTGAGATATAAGGGTTTGCACTCTTGATCAGTTCAAATGGTGACATGCTCGTTGAAGTAAGAGGTACCCCTCTATATACAAACATCACTGCAGGCAGTAGCATGTCCCATGAGGAAGGATTTTCAAAAAGAATGATGGGAAGTATTGTCTTTATAGGCTTATTAGAATTGTCTACAAGACCATTAGCTTGAGTATGGTAAAGAGTAGTCTAATTTTCCTTAACTCCTAAAAAAAAACAAAAATAACCCAGATGAGGGGATTCTTGAAGAGTTTGTACATGAGTTTGTGATCTGCAGATGGGCACATGAAGTTGATTATCCTAGAAGAGCGTTTTACAGATAACTAGCATCATTGTAATTTTACTCATTCCTTGTAGTATTTAGTCCAGATGAACAAAATATCAAAATCAGAATTGTTGTGACCTTATCTTTTTTTTTTTTTTTTTTTTTTTTCACAAACAAAATTTACTGGTATTTATAAACAGGGCTACTTTTTTTTTTCTAGAAAAAAAGTGCCGGTACTCACCACAAAGTGTCAAACAAAAGGTGTGTATACTCACTACAAAGTGTCAAACAAAAGGTGTGTATACTCACTACAAAGTGTCAAACAAAAGGTGTGTATACTCACTACAAAGTGTCAAACAAAAGATACCGGTACTCACCACAAAATTTCTATTACACCAGTTTGGAAAAAAAAATGATTTAAAAAACCAAAGGTGATATAAATGCATACCACCAGAAAAAAAAACAGCCCTGCTTAAAAAACTGTCTCTGCATTTTTACCATTGACTTTCCCTGACCTTATTTGCAGTATTATGCCAGATTGTAATTTCCAGCTTCTGGGCCTGATTCATGGTTGTCCTCAGCTGTCGAGTCACATGTCATTGACAAGTTTACTGACATTCCCAGTTCTAAATCAGTACTAGCTGTTGAGCTGTTGAAAACATCAGACCTTGTTAAACTGTCATACACACCTGAATCAGTCACTCCAGATAAAGACCTGGCATATGAACTACTCATGTAGGAAACTAATGTTACCGGAGGTTCAGTTACTATTTGTTCTTCATATTCGTCTAATTGTGTCTGTGGACAGGAATGGTCAGAAAGAAGTTCAAACATGATTTCAGGACCTGCAGACTGGCACATTCTGTTCAGTTGATCGCTTCCAGAAACCTGACTTTTGTTGCTGTGTGTTTGAAGCTTCAAATGAGGATCTGCAGTTGATGTGTGGTCATAAGAGCTGTCACTTTTTCCTGAAACAGAGCTGGCTGACTTAGACCTCAGCTTTGGGTCGCCATCACTGATGCTCCTACTGGTCTGTCTTCTCACACGATGAACAGCATCTCGACTTGGAGATGCTGAATGATGCAAGGAGTCTGGTACCACATCTCCACTATGATAAGACTGACTAAACTGTTGTTTTGCAAGACTATCATCACAAGATTCAAAATCAGCACTTTGGGACATCCGCCACATAATTTGTTCAAAGTCCATAGAAATGCGTTTGTTGGCTCTAGATTCACGGTCATATTTACGCATCAGCACCTGGCATCTTTGATGAAGTTGCCTGTAAGGAAAGTTAAAAAGTTACAATAATGGTAATTCCAAAACAATTACTGTTTGACTATATAATATTTTTAAAAAAAGGTAAAGTTGGGAGATGTGAACCAGCGCCATTGCACACGGTTATAAACCATAAGTGCTCTGCCACCAGTATGGACAGCTGATAAGAACTGTCCACCTGTGTCGCTGATCGCACATAACTCTGTAGCTACAGCAACTTTCCTCCATTTACCCCAGAGTATCACTCTGGTACCAGTTTTCTAGAGGCTGGGTGAGCCCCGGAAGCCGCCCGGTTTCAAACAATTGAATATCTATGCCAACCTTACCCACTGAATAGTGCAGAGCAAAATCGTTCACCTTTAACTCTTTCAGTCTCAAGGAATGCACCATGTGTGATGTGGTATTTTCCCTGTCTACAAAACAACAAATGACATAGCTGGCATTTAGCTTAAAAATACTATAGAAATGTGGCTAGTTATTCAAATGCCTAACTCTGTATGTATTTGCTGCATCTGTGACAGTTACCCTCTCACACTTTCTTTATGTTTATTGTGATTATTGTTACCTTGGACATGTCCAGATAAATATTCTGGTACTTAAAGAGGTAACCTATACAGACTTTGTAGATTTCCCTTTTTCATGTAAATAGTCTTTACTTCCCTAACATTTCCTGGTGCATATTTTAGGTGGGTTGACCTGAGAGGTCAGGTCAACTGTTTAAAATCTTCACCTTCATAGGGATTCAAACAAATGGTAAGTGATAAGTGAGAATTATTTATAACAAATCCATAGATACTCCAATGTCTTCCTCAATAGCTTCACAAGTGTGCAGTGACTGATAACTCTTGTTCTATGTAATTAATCCTTTTGCTCTGAGAAGCCTAAACCAGGCCAATTCCATTTATGTCAACATAAATGCCGATATTTGGCCATGTCTGCAGTGAACTGTTCTTAAAAAGCATAAGATAAATACTGTTGGTCCAGTGTGTGTGCTTGTGCATATTTAATAGGTCAGGATGTGAATACGATAATGAAAAAAAAAAAAGGATACAGGGGTGTTTCCTTGTGACCTCAATTATTTTTTTTTTCAAAGCCAAGTTGTCCCATTAGTTGTTTTGTATAGCTCTTAGTCATGTGTGGAAAAGTGATTTATGTGTAGATCTTAGTCTGATAGTGGAAAATTGATTTATTTGTAGTTTTTTTAGTCCTGTGTGGAAAAGTGATTTATGTGTAGCTCTTAGTCTTGTGTGGAAAATTGATTTATGTGTAGTTTTTAGTTTTGTGTGGAAAAGTGATTTATGTGCAGTTTTTAGTTTTGGGTGGAAAAATAATTTATGTATAGTTTTTAGTCTTGTGTGGAAAAGTGATTTGTGTGTAGTTATTAGTCTTGTGTGGAAATAAATATGTTTTATGAAAATTACTTTTACTTTTTGATGTACCCTTGTACAGTATCTGTTTTTGGCTAAGGAAGGAGGTCTTTCAGTTATAACTGGGTTCCTTACTTTTTGCATTAGTTCATTCTATTGATTGGTTTATCCCCTCCAAGCTGTTACCTGAAGATTTACTACACTTTAAAAAATCTCAGACTGAATGGTAGATCCCAGATATCCTGTTCAACCCAAAACGGCTGTACCAACCCAGTGCCTGCAGTCTTCCATGGGTAAAGAGATTTTTTTTTTTTCATTGTAAATTGAAGTTTTTATAGGACTTCAGAAGGGTATGTAATGGCAGTTACAAAACATGAATTATATTTTTCACAGCTGAATGCGTAAAAACATAAAAGATTTTTTTTAACCAATGCCACACTTTTTTCTGGGTCTGTGTATCACAGGATCTGTACATAGATCACATCATTTTTTTTTTTTTTAAGTTTCTAAGACCGTAAAGAAAACAGAATATCTAAAGACAGAAGAACAACAGCAACACAAGCACTACAAACTGCTCACTTTTCATGTTCTGTTTTAATGTTAATGATGGCCTCCAAATTTTCAATTTTCTGCTGAAGGGAGATTATCTTTTCTCTAGATATGGGAACCTCTTCAAGCTAAAATGTAAGATGTAAGAAAAAAAAAACATTAAACATATAGTCAGCCAAAATTTTGCATACATTCTTTAGTAAACGAATAACTGACAAAGAAAAAATGTGTAAATAAGGTTATGAGTTCATTTTTGCTCTGCACCATTCAATGGTTAGGGCAACAACAGAGAATAGTATGAATAGCAGATAACAGAGAGATTAAAACTGCATACACAAAATAGATGAACTGTAGTAGACCAACAAGATAGTGTAGAGATAATTTACAGGCAGATCGACAAGCACTTGGAGACCACAACTGGATAGAGAGGGCAAATCATAGAGAGGAATGCATCAGTGTGATATCTGCAGAAATGAATCACAAGGGATTGGAAAGCTGAAGAAGAAGAAAAAGACTGTTCAATTCACAAGTGCATATGGGGCAGGGAGAAATTCTCAGAGATCAACGCTGGATGTATGGAGTTGAAATTAAGTCAATTCCTTTGCCTTTAAACTATTAGTTGTCTCCAGAGTAAAATGTTCAACTTATCTTCCTTACACTCTGAAGATACTGGCTTCAATTTCTGACCATACCTTTTGGTTCATGAGTGCTCCTTATTGGATTTAATTGTGGGTTATCACTAGAAGTACAGAAGTTAGGGCTTTGTGATATACTCTGGTGGGTTACCAGTCACTCTGTAAAAAGTGAGAGAGAGAAAGAGAGAGAGAGAGAGAGAGAGAGAGAGAGAGAGAGAGAGAGAGAGAGAGAGAGAGAGAGAGAGAGAGAAAGAGAGAGAATGAACAATGTCAAATAGAATTCTTTGCAATAAAGTAAATCATCTCACCTTATTCACACCACTTTTTTTAAATTCCCACCTATAAAGCTCTGACTGTTAGTCTTGTCTTGCACACAGGGGTGCCAGAACTTGGGGGCTGAGGCCTCTTCAGTGTCCACCATCCCCATCATTTTTAGGAGATGAGCACCCACTCCCCGCGCCCTGAATATTATCAAAGGGGCTAAGTGGCTCTCCTCCCTCCCCCAGACAATGTATACACGTTTTCTTTTTAAGTACAGGTTAAAAGCTTTCACAATTAGTAGTACTTTTACCCCACCAGGACATCACACAAGCGATAATCACCTGGTGACAAAGTGCCACCATGAGGATGAGGATCACCCGTGGAGAAGTCCTGGAAACCGAATTCAGGATTTAGGCCACACTTATGGCCAGGCTATATTGCAGGCCCTGGCATGAGCTATGGTGGGGCTTCAAAATAACGAAAAATTGCATCCCACAAGGAGGTAGGTGTGGTTAGCTTTCCCTTTCACAATTAAAATATTGTATTACATTTATTTGCCATTCAGCACAATATAAGTATTTTTTGTATTATTATTACACACTTAGAAAGGATGTAAACCTCCCTACTCTCCCTAGGGTGCTGAGAGTAGTTCCCTTGTCTCCAGTTCTATGCCATACACAAGCTCCAATCCTGGAGACAATTGTCATAGTTTACCTGCTTCTCCAAGTCCATAATTTTAGTGCGCAGTTTCTGGATCTCCTCGAGTCGCATCCCCTGGATTGACTTCAAACTTTCTATCTCCCTTGGGAGATTAAGATAGGGAGCTAGAGCAATCTGCAAGAAAACCACAAGTGTCATTTGTTCAACAGTTACATTTGTGTTGTTTGCTAAACAGTTACATTTGTGTTGTTTGCTAAACAGTTACATTTGTGTTGTTTGCTACCAGGACTGCACATCAATGGTAGAATAATAAACAATCTGAGACATGCTGATGACACAGTGTTCCTAGCAGAGAGTGAGCAGGAGTTGCAAGACCTAGTGGAGCAAGTAAACAGAAGGAGTGCAGAATTTGGATTAGATTTTAATTTGAAAAAGACAAAAACCATGATATTTAGCAAAGAAAATAACCAGCTAACAATGAATATCACAGTGAACGAGGTGAAATTGGAACAAGTTAAAAATTTCTTATATCTTGGACAAGTAATAACATGTGATGGCAAAAGTGAAACAGAAGTCAAGAAAAGAATAGGGATGGCCAAAAACATTTTCAACAACAACATGCAAAAGTTACTGACATCAAGAGAAATAAGCAATACATTAAAAATGAGAATTGTCAAATGTTATGTATTCTTAACCTTACTGTATGGCACAGAGACATGGACAAAGAACAAACAACTGGAAAATCGTATCAATTCTTTGAAGATGTGGATATACAGAAGATTAGGTCGTATTTCATGGAAACAAAAGCTATCAAATACAGAGGTACTGAGGAAATTGGAAATGAAAAGAGAGTTGCTAGGTGAAATAAAAAAGAGACAAGTGAAATATTTTGGCAACATTAAAAGACATAACAACTCCGCTAAGACCGGTCCCAAGCCCGGCTGTAAAAGGAGGAGGGTCTAGCTGAACCTGAGTGCATCATGCGTCTCTGGAAGTAGTGGGTAACCGTGAATCAGCCAGACGGCCTGCATGGAGACCTTATCTTCACACTGAGACAGATGAGTGAAAAAGCCCTGGAATATAAGAGTGAGATGCACTTATGTTTTTTGGATCTTGAAAAGGCATTTGACAAGGTACCCTGGAACAAGCTCTGGGGCTGCTTGGCGGGGAAAAACATTCCAGCAACCCTGATCAGTGCAATACAGAGTTTCTACAAAAGCTGCAGAAATTATGTAAGAACAGCAGACCAAAGGTCAGAAGAATTTAAGACCACCAGCGGTGTTAGATGAGTTGATATTCTCTCACCTTACCTCTTCATTCTTATGATGGATGATGTCATCAAGACCTGTAAGGAGAAGACAAAGAAGTACTCTGTAGGGTACTGGAAGATGAGACCAGTCTGTATATCAGAGCTGGCATTTGCAGATGATGTGGCCCTGATAGCTAAATCAGAGGCACACCTTCAGTCCAACTTACTTGTCTGGAAGAAAGAGCTTGAAAAGAGAGGGATGACCATCAGTATCTCCAAAACTAAAACCATGGTGATCTCAAGAGAGGAGAAGAAACACCAGATCATGATGGGACAGTATGCATTGGAGCAGGTTAACCAGTTCAAATACCTTGGAGTTGTATTAGACCGAAATGGAGGCATTGAGACTGAGCTGGCTACACGAAAAGCAGCTGCTGGGAGACTCTTCCAGGCCATTAACCGAGGATTTCTTAGCAAAAGAAAAATTGGCAAGAGAACGAAAATGGCTGTTTACTGCTCTACCTATGTACCAGTCCTGACCTATGGGTGTGAGTCATGGGCAATGACAACAGCTCACAGAAGCCAGCTGCAGGCCTCGGAAATGAGATATTTGAGAAAGGTGGTCCAAGTGACAAGAAGGGACAAAGTCTGCAATCAGACAATACGTCAAGATCTTACAAACCCGAGTGGATCAGTCACAGTTACGATGGTTTGGACATGTATGCAGAATGGGAGATAATCGGCCACCATGGCAGGCAAGGGAGGCTAAGAACCAGGGAACCAGACCTCCAGGACGACCCGGGTGTGCTGGGAAGACAACATCCGACAGTCCCTAACTGACAGAGGACTGGAATGGAACAAAGCCAGAAAGAAAACTGCTGATAGAGACGTCTGGCGATCTCTCTGGCAAACCTCTACACCCCAAGGTAGAAGAGGAGCAACTAAGTAAGTAAAGTAAAAGACATAACAGTATTGTAAAGATCAATCTAGAGGGAAAGGTTCAAGGTAGGCGAGCAGGAGGCAGACAGCATTACAAGTGGGAGGATAACATCAAGAGAACAGCAGTATGAGTGAGTGTACATCAAGGGCAAGAGACAGGGCTTGTTGAAGATTCATTGCAACCAACCTTTATTGTGGAGACGGCATCTGATTGATTGACTGTTTGCAAAACAGTTACATTTGTGTTCTTTGTTAACTGCTTATTTCTGTGTCATTTATTTTTTCAAAACTTAAATTTATATTGTTGTTTTTTTAACTTACACTTTTTAAATAGTTACTTCTGTGTCATTTTTTTTTAAACTAACATTTATGTTGCTGTTTTTTTTAAAAACTGACATTTGTGTTATTTTTTTTCTACAGAACTTAAGTTTGTGTCATGTGTTAACCATTTACATCTATATAATTTGTTAAGAGCTTATTTCTATGTCAATTTTTTACAACTTACATTTGTGTTGCTTTTTGTTTTATTTTCTTTTTCTTTTTTTAAACTTACATTTTTGTAATTTGATAACTGGCTATTTCTGTGTCATTTAAAAACAATTAACTGGTTAAAAAAAAAAAAATTTCATTTGTTAAATAATTACTTCTATGTCATTTGTTACATTTGTGTCATGTACTGGTTGGTTATATTTAGTTCATCTATTAACTAGTTTTATATAAATATATATATATATATCATTTCTTAGCCAGTTACATTTGTGTCATTAGTAGAGTGACCATAAGTCCCATTTTCAATGGAACAATATTGCTTCTCAGGTAGGCCTAGGCCGTCACGTCAATACTTAAATGTTGATAGGAACAATGGAATTTTGTTGTTGTTGAGTTTTGGCAGGAGGGTCTGGGTCACCTTAAACAAAAAATACTGTCTCGACAATATGGTCAACCTAGTCATCTGACACCCAATTAAACTTTTTCATTTAAAAAAACCTACATTAAATTACAAATGTTCAGAACAGCATCATCATCATCATCATCACCATCATCATCATCATCATTATCATCATCATCCTCATCATTAACTTCCACAAGATGCTGGTGGGGAGGCACATTTTTCAGTTAATCATTTGATGGGTAGCACTAGCATCTATCTTTCCACTTGGATTTAGAATATCTGTTATGTCATCAATTGAGCTTCTTGCAGGATGGCCTCTTGCTCTCAAATAAGCTCTTTTTAGTTGTAGCATCTGTGTTGGTGGTTGCTGTGACTGCATTCTTACAAGATGACCAAACATCTGATGTTTTGCTTCACAGTGAATTTGATGCACTGTGTCGTTCCCACAGTCTGCATGATAATTAAAAATTTTTTAATCTTTCTTGAAGTGGTCAAGTTGGTAATGTTCCTCAGACATCTTATGTACCAAAACATTTGACATTATGCTTCACAGTAAATTTGATGCACTGTGTCATTCCTACAGTCTGCATGATAAAAACATTTCTGAATCTTTTTTGACGTGGTCAAGTTGGCAATGTTCATCAGACATCTCATGTGCCAAAACTTTTGACATTTTGCTTCTCAGTCAATTTGATGCAGGCTCATTCTTTTTTTAAATGGTCAAGTTGGCAGCTATCCTCAGGCATCTTACGTTAAGGATATAATGAGTTAAAATAATTCCTCCCAGGACCTGAAAGAGTTAATGTGTAATAATAAGTGTTAAAACAATGTCATTTACCTTAACTTTAAAATCAGAATCTCTTTGTAAGGCTTCTTCACTGTTCCGAGCTCTGATGGCTAAATCATCACATTCTTTGCGCAGATAGTCAACTTTTTCCTGAGAAAACACGTTACAAGAACCATTTTACAAAAATACTCAGCTAAATGAAGTGGCAGTGTTGTCATTAGCTGTTGTGAACCTGCTGACACTACATACTTTTTTGATGAGTTCAATCGTCATTGATGCTACTTCTTCTTCTTAAATATCTTATTCCAACAGTCTTAGACTGGTGGTTACATTACCTGTCCTTATCACATTCAAATGGTTACAAACTAGAAGTTACATTATCTGTCACACCACTTTTAGACATGTCATGTCACTGTTAGATATTCCCAGACTGGCGGCTACATTACCTAAATTATTTTATTCAAACAGTCCTAGATTATTGGCTGTAGTGCAGCAATTTTGGTCACCAGCATGAGGGAAAGTTAAAGATGCCGTGATGTTTATAAGGAGACATTCTGTGCCTCATCATGAGCACCAGTTTGCTCTGTGCTTGTTTTATGGATCTTCATGCAAGACTCCTTCCACATGTCCTCGTTGTGTGCTATAGAAGGGTTCATATGAATCTAAACCAAGTTGGCAGAGGTCTTGGAGTTGGTAGCTCCCAGAGCTGCAGCGCCAAGAAATCATTTGGCTCTCATCAGCCCACCCCCACTGCATGGATGATAACATCTACCAATAACTCATTTGGAACATGAGTGAAGCCAGCTGGATGAATAACTTACTATATGACAAACCTCAGTTCAAACATCTGTTATATCCAACATCTGTTGACTGAATATCCAACTGATTGTGCTCAAATGTCAGTCAGTCAGGTGTCAGTCTATCAAAATCAGCTTAGCAGCCACCTCACAGTGAACTGTTAAGATTCAATCCCAGACAATGAGAATTGTTCACAGGTTAGACAAGCAACAGCTCCTTTATGCTGAATCTCATAATTCTGTCGTAGGGCATAATATGAAAGTTTTATATGGCTGACCATCGACCGTCTTACTCTGTGAGAGGCACAGTTTAGACTTTCGAAGGTCAAATAACCCTGTGTGTGTAAACAAGATTCAAATGCCCACTACCATTTGCCCCACTTGTCAGAGTGTTGGGACCAAACAGAGAAGCTGTGCTTGGTGCATGCTTTTCCGATACTGTTATGCTAGATGTCCCAACATAACAACATTAAATGTGTCTTATATGCTGAAGGAGAGTGTACCCATCTGTGTGATCACTGAAGTCTTAGCCCTGCCGGCTGCTCCCTGTGGATCCAAATGGCATATCCCATGATCAGGGAGAAAGGTTAAGCAGTCATGGGCAGGGTGTGACAACTTATTTATTTATTTTTTATTTAACGAGCCCAGGACCATAGCACCATGTGTCTGCTCTACATTTATGGAAGGCTCCTTGGATGGTGTGAAATGCCCATGATCTGCCCCTGCCTTTCCTTGAGGGTTTTCCAGGGGCAAAACATGTTGATAAAGGGACAAAGAGGACACAACACAAACAAGCCCTTTGAAGAAAAGCCCCATGGAGTTAGATGTGTTGGCTGAAAGGTGCAAATATTACAGCTATGCTATAAACAGGTCCAATGCAATTATGTCACTCAGAAAAATAATGAAGAAGAAGAAGAACAGCAGCTACATTACCTAAACTGCCATATTCAAACAGTTCTGAACTTTAGGCTACAGTTCTAGACCATTGGCCACATTACTTGTCATGTCATACTTAAATAGGCCTAGACTAGCAGCTACATTACACATTCAAATAGTCCCAGACTAGCTGGCACATTACTTGTCATGTCACATTCAAATAGTCCCAGAATAGCAGCTACATTACTTGTCATGTCACATTTGAATAGTCCTAGACTATTGCTGCACTTCCTGTCCCCTTCAAGCAGTTCTGGACTAGCAGCTACGTGTCACTTTCAAACAATCTTAGGCCAGCAGCAACAGATTCTGTCGTGTCACCTTCATCAAACAGTTCTAGACGACTTGCTACATTATCAACCATGTCATTTTCAAGCTATCTTGTTCTGTGGTTACACTGACTGTCATGAAATTTCAACTGATTTTTGTTGATGGTTAAAGCTCCCCATGGATAATCACTGGAGCTATGAATTTATGTTTGGTGTTTCACTCTTAACATGCAACTAACAGTTCTGCAGAGGCAGACCGAGCAATCAGGGCTTAAACCTGAGGCATCAAAGCTTTTTCTTTTGACTTTATAGTTTCAGTTTTTGTATGTGGCTCAGTATTTGAGTCATGCTTACTTCAAAACCTTCATAATGCCGGGATGCCGGGTTCGATCCCAGCTGCGGGCCATGCACCTTGCGTTGGTTTCGACAGTGGTATCAAGAAAGCCGACCATCCAGAAAGCAATGGCAAACTACTGGACGTAAATTTGCCTAGAAAAACCACACTGTTGGGATTGGTTCTGCAATGTCCTGTAAAGGATACGCAACTAACCTTACTTCAAAACAGGGGCAATCATTAAAATAACAGTGTGTTGGTACTCACCATGAGGTGGCTTATAAAAGGTGCTAGTAATCACCACAAAGTGTCTATTGCAGGATTTTCGGGGGGGGGGGGGGGGGGGGGATAATTGACTTTAGAAAAGTGCCAGTACAGTATACCATTGCACACCATCAGAGAAACAGCCCTGCTTCTAATAACAGTAAATTCAAACTAAAAGAAAAGTTTGCAGCTTACCGAAAGTGAGAATTTTATAGCCTCAAACCGAAGACTCATTTCCTCCATCTTGCATCTGTGCTGCTTATGAAGCTCTGTGGAGTTTTTATATACATCAGATCAGTAAATATCACAAGACATAGATACACAAAAATAAACAGATGGGGAATCCTTGAGGCCATAGAAACAGTTTATATATATATATATATAAAGAAGTGAAGGAAAATTATGGCAAGATATGGAGTAAGCGAACACCTCATCGAAGTGTGCAAAAGTTTATACAGGGATTGTAGAAGTGTAGTTAGAATAAATCAGGGAACATCTCATCCTTTCACAGTGACATCTGGAGTAAGACAGGGGTGTGTCTTTTCACCACTGCTGTTTATCACCTACATCGACAGTATATGAAAGAATGCCAAGCCCATGAATGAAGATCTTAGTAAGATCAACGAATTACTCTTTGCAGATGACCAGGCCTTGATAGCAGATTCAGCCATGAAATTGCAACAACATCTAACATCCATGAATGAAGAATGTAAAACAAATAATATGAGAATCAACACTGAAAAGACAGAAGTAATGTCAATAGAAAAAAAGAAGACAGATCTAAACATAGCAATAGAATACAAAGATATTAAACAGGCATCTGAGTTTAAATATCTGGGAACTACATTTACCGAAGATGGGAAATTGGATAAAGAAATTGACATTAGATGCAGTAAAGCAAACCAAGTATTGGGACAGCTAGCCCCCCTCTTACAGCATAAGACAATCCCAATCAGCACAAAGAGACATCTTATTCAAAGCATATTTATTCCAACTCTGTGCTACCAGTGCCAGACATGGTCACTCACAACAAACCATAAAAGAAAATTAGTAACCACGGAAATGAGATGTCTGAGAAGGGCTGTAGGAGTGACCATAAGAGATAAGATCAGGAATGAGATCATAAGAGAACAAGTCGGCACGGAACCAATTCTGGATTACATACAAAGACAGCAAGTGAAATGGTTTGCCCACTTAGAGAGAATGCCTTGTGACACCATAACATACAAAGCATACATGGAAAGAGAAGAAGGACCTAGAGCACGGGGTAGACCAAGAACAAGATGGAATGATAACATCAGAGAAACTCTACAACAGCACGATGTGCCTATGGTCGAGGCAGCCAGAAGAGCTAGAAACAGAACCTTATTTCTCCCTCGACACCCACAGCGGTAAAAGAGGAAGTGAAGAAGAAGAGGATAGAAGGACACATTAGACAACATAAAAATCACAAGCTATACCATGCCAGGAATCAAAACTGTCACTTACAAATGACAACAGTGTCTCATGGCAAAAACAAATGTACGAAGATGCATGACCAGCTAGGCACCCTTTAAAAGGGTGTCTTTTTTAGCAATGTTTACAAATGTTGAATTAAGAATCGGCATCATAGCACTCAGGACACTCACATAAGCACTTCATTCCTATCTTCAGCTGCAAGGAAAGAGATCCAATTCTTATGGTACCAGTAACTGACTGATTGTATATCCATTTCACCTTTCCCTTGAGTGTTGAGCATCAGCCAGATACCCTGGTAACTCCCTGCAGTGCCATTCTCCTCAGACTTTAATGATCTATTTGTGCCCCCTCACTGTTCACTCGCTCCCAAAGGGCTCTCACAACATCTAGATTGTCGTACGCCAGTTCATCACCAAGTGGTGCAGAACTGCTAGTTTCCCAGCACACCAGCTTGACCTGGAGAAAATATCCTAACTACCTGGGAAATCTGAAGTGACATCTGCCACTCTGCATGGAGCATGCTTGACTCTACCTTTCTCAACTGCAACATACTCTGTGAGTCAGTTACACTTGACATGTGTGTACAGCTGATTATCAATCCAGAGGAAGACAGCAGTGAGTGCCTCCTCCTCCACGTTGTGATATCATATGCTAGGCTTGGCTGCACTAAGCGACGTCCATTCGCTTTTGCTATGAACCCCCTTGCACTTCATCTACCTCTTAACTCAGAGCTATCGGCATGGATTAGCAATGTTTATGGTACAGACTGGACCCATAACTTTGGACTAGGGACAGAAATTCATCTCAAACCATTAAAAAAAAAAAGAATAAAATAGACACAGCTTTACACTCCAATTGTGTTTATAATGGGTGTTACATTTGTTATTCAACCTTCACTTGATTAACTCTTTACGGACCGGTCGCCACTTAAGTGGCTTTTGAATTCATCCTGTTCAGACTGTTCGCTATTACAATGGCTCTTCATAGAGACTGGCTAATAATGTTTTGTTTGCTGGGAAAATGAATTTGTTTGAACATGTTTTGAAAAAAAATTAATCAGCAAAATGAAGTCCTTTCATTTGAGAAGTTTGGTATCATGTTTTGGTTCACTTTCTGATCTGCTTTTAATTAATTAGATGTGATACAATTTTTTATATGATTTTTCCAGACCATATGATAAGAGAAAAGGTCTAGAACTGTTCATACTGCTCTATCGTTGATGAATCTCAGCCAGATAGTGAAAATAGTCTTGATATTATGATTGATAATGTATGTACCAGAACCATTGCCGATAATAAAGGTTAGGATGAAGATAAACAAAATAGTTTAAACAGATCACCTCTATTTCAATCAGCTGTGTCAGGAATTCGGTTGTTGTGAAATTTGACATGTCACACACAAATCATTATAAAATCCAACGTATTTAAATTAACTGCTTCAAATAAAGACTAGATGATGCATAACTCAACAGAGGGGGCGTGTGAATTCTTAGAAATGGATAGCAAAATGTAATGATCATTCTCTCCTCAATAATTTATGTTACATTAGCAATGATGTCAGATACTGAATATGTATTATGTACTTAACCTCGACTGAATGACAATCGAGGATGAATCGTGGTGCACAGAAAAATGTTGGCCAAACAGGCAAAATTGCCTAAACTGTGCCAAGTGAAGAAGTGTGAGAATCCAGCACGTGGATGATCTAGAACATGTGGGTGACAATGAATATTTAACGCCTGGAATGATCAAGAACGATTAGTCTTGGTTCAGTCTTGAGTTCAGTTTTGTTTGAGCCTGTGTCAACTTGGGAACGGTGAGGATGACAGAGACAATGCTGACCAAATCTAACTGCTAGTGAATGCCTGTACCTGAGTTTGACTATAAGTTTCCCTGAACCCAGATTATCCTGTTGAGTTGACTTCCTGTCAAGTTTGGACGTTGTCAGATGCTGTCAGTCTGGATGGTTGTGAATGTTGTTGAATTCTGAATTAAGAATCAACATCACAGCACTCTGGACATTCCCATAAGTGCTCAGTCCCCATCTTCAGCAGCAAGTGAAGAGTTCCTATCCCGATGGTACCAGTAACTGTCTGATTGTATATCCCTCTCATCCTTCCCCTAAGTTTTGAGCATCGGCCAGATCCCCTGGATGGTTGTGAAAGTCTAGCATCTATGTGGATTGTTCTGATATAATATGCACCAAAGGTCACGTGTGTATGGATGAGTTTCGAGTGATGCTGTGTCAAGTAGCTGAGCTTAATTATCCTAGATGTGTATTTTTCTCTAGGGGCACTGGCAGACGGGTCAGCTGTGTTTGAAGGAATAAAAACATTGACAGCGATCACCTGAGTGGATTTCAGTTCGCATCGTTCGTTGTTCAACCTGTTGAGTTACTATACGTCAGTGTACGTTTGAGAAGTCTGCAGACGACTAGAGCCAGAAAGTGAGAGTAAGAAGAGTCATTGCACAGTGTTGTGAAAAACAAACAAAAAAAGATTGTAAGCACAACATTTTATGTGTAAATAATCTGCATATGAGTCTAACGTCCTTGAATGTTGTGGGATTTTAATAATTCTGCTTTTTGTACTAATACTTAAATAGCTTAGATTTATTCTGCATTCATTTCTCTTTATTTGTATATATTATATGTCCCTATACAGCCAATTATCATGGTATGGGGCGTTGCATAATGGGTACTATGATGTATTTCCTGAGGAAGTAAAGACGGCCGCCGTAATGCTAACCACATTACCCAAATAGTGCCGATTGGTCTGTACAGATATGGGTGCTCTTCCCATATGCCCGATATGCCTAAAAGGCGTGAAAAGGGATCTTTACTTACTTTACTTTATACAGCCAATACATTTTCTTCAGGAAGAGCTTTCTCATGTTGCAGTAACAAAATTTAGCTCAAAATTAATGCTACCCAAACCCCAGAAAAACTGTCATATGAAAGAGTTAATATGAATTTTTCAACCTACATTTGAATAATGTGAATTTTAGTAATGTATATTGCTGTAAGATAATATACATTCTCTTGCTGATTATCAAATCACAAGAAGATAAAATCTATTCTCTACACTTACCTTCCATCTGGTCATCATGTTTGTTCCTCAGCTCCTGAATCTCCTCCAAATTGGCAATCTTTAAGCTGTTGATCTCTAGCTTGCACTCGTTCATTATATCTGAAATCTGAAATGCCAAAATATAAGCAGCAAGTAAAAGACACTTAACTCGCAAAATTCCATGAGAAATGTGATGCCACAGCCATAAATGTATGTACTGACAGAAGCCAGTTCAACTGTCTGTGACAGCATAAGAAAATCCTAATCAGCACAAAGAAACATCTCAAACAATGCACATTCATTTCTCCCCTATACTACCAGTGCCAGACAAGGTCATTCAAAACAGACTAGAAAAGAAAATTAGTAGCCATGGAAGATATCTGAGATGGGCTGCATGAGCCACCAGAAGAGATAAATTCATAAATTAGGACACATGAAAAAAGTCAGCACAGAACCAATTCTGAATTACATACAAAGACAGCAAATCATATAGTCTGCCCACACAGAGAGAATGCATTGTGAGGCCATGTCATACCAGGCATACAACAAAAGATGACAACGATATAGAGCAGTAATCCGCAAACTTGTTGACACACATGGCTCACTAAAACAGTCAAAATTATTTCAAACTTTTTGACACACATGGCCCACTAAAACAGTCAAAATTATTTCACGGATCAATTGACAGATAACCAAACACAGAAACAAATGTAGATAACATTTTTTTTTTGGTTAAATCCTTTGGCACAAAAGTGCTGACTGGTCTATGAAAGAAACAGGTCAAGCATCATAAGCTCAGTTAGCCAATGACATAGAGTTTTTCTTTTAACTTCTTGGTTAATTATTTTTTTCAATAATTTTTGCTTCTAAGTTTTATCTTCCAGATTTGCATTATGAAGGACAAACATCTCAAAGATAAGAATCAAACAGCTATAAATCCTGGAAACCCTATTCGACCATATAGCCATATAGTACAGTTATACTGAGGCCCCACAAAATGGTTATGAAGTAACCTGTAGAATGGTGTGGATATGTTTTTGATGGTTAGTTTTCTGTGAAAGGTGAAGTTTTTTATGTAGCCAACCCCAAATCCTACTAGTCTGGTAATCTTGTAATCTTAGTTTCAGCTTTACAGCAAACGGGTCACCCCATAGTTGCTCCGCTCCTGTGCCAACGAAAAACACATCAAATGTTATCACAGTTCAAATGAAATCTGCCACTCACAGTGTTATGCCATGCACTCAACTCAGAAGCTGGGCAACGAAACTATATCCTTCCAGTCTACAAATGGAGCAAAAATGCAACTGCCACCGTCTGGCAGAAGCAAAAAATTTGCCACGGCTAAAAAACAAGTGGCTGTGCCTAGCGTCTATTTTGACCAAGTGTATTATGTGAGGGTTAATAAATGGTCCTACCAGCAGTACCCTCACTATTAGCTGGGATAGGGGCTTAGGACATTATATCCACCAGCAAGTGTGGCCCCTACAATGACCTGACTGCCTTCGTTAACGACTGTTTACCCAACAAAATATATACTGTCCTGGCAAAAACAGGACGGTAGGCTCATATGTCGGTGAAAGTTGGAGGAGAATCACTTAAAACATGGAATGGATGTTCAGAAATGTTCTGAGTGCTGTGACTAACAATGATTCTTGAATCATCATTGAACACAGTAAAAGTGATTTTGTGAGCATCTTACCTGCCTGTCATGAGCTTGCCTCTGCATCTCGAACTGTGTCTCGTAGAAATGGGTCACTGAAATAAAGTATTTATCAGAAGACTTTAACTTGAAGACTAACACTACTAACTGTCTCAAATTTAACAGGGTTTGTTTTCAACTCCCTCAGCTCAACAGGGAACTCTGAGATAGAAAAGTAAATAACATGTTTTCACATCCTGACTTATAGTTGGTTTAGCCCCATGTGGGAGCCACTGATATGAAATGGCTAGACACTTGTATGCAGATCTGAAGGTAATGAGTTTCAGTCCTGACAGAACCCGATTTTTTCCAGGATTAAATAGGTACAAGGTATAACCCTGGGAAGTAAAGGTAGCCGGTGTGATGTTGACCACATCACCCACCAAGTGCTGATTGGTCTATAAAAAAAAGATCTAGCCCTACATGCCCAAATATGGCTAGGTCCTTTACTTTATTTTTTTTTTAGTTTGTTTTAAACCTGACCCCATGTTTTTATAGATCAATCAGCACTGAAGTGATGTGATAACACTAGGTGTCTTTACTTCCCTGAAGCAAGATAACAGATAAACTTGAAATTCTATGAAATCAAAAACTGCTTAGACTACAACCTGCATTGGGTTGTTTTGGTATACACAAAGAGATTTGCAATTTACGCCAGCAGTTTAGTAATACAGATCACTACTTGTTGGAGAGTATGAAATGTGAACTCCAAAGAAAAACATTAACAGTCTGCATGAATCTCTGTGAAATACATATAACAGTGAAAACCCTATTGTGTATAGACACCCCAGAGATTGGGGTCAGGCATTTCGTTACTAGATCATACAAGTATGTGGAAGAGTAAGGAATGTCCATGCCATCTTTAAACTAATTTATCCTAAAGATTATCCTAAAGAAAACATTCATGAGGATAATCAACTATTATACTAAAGGCAAAATGAATCCACTATTTTAAGGACACAATATTTGTAAGATTATCTAAATATTATTAGCACAATATCTTAATTACAACCCAGAAAGGTATAAACAAATCACTATTTGAAACAATAATACAAATTACATAATTGTCCTAATTAAATCATTTCAGGATGTATAATTTAACAAATATATTCTCAGAGAATTTGATGAAGACTTTATATCCAAATAATAACCCTGAAGGTTGAACTAGTTTCCCAGAATATACATTGTTGCATGTAAAGGCAGCTGCTGCGATATGAATAAGATCACACACCGAGTGTATGAAAATAGGGTGTGAGCATCACATGAGTAATAGGCTTCACATCATGGAATCTGGTAGTTTACAAGTTTCTACCTCTATATTCATTACATATAATTCAAAATGTGTACATACTTTTAGAACACCTGCAGATGCTTTCTTTGTGTCTTATTTTGCTCTCCCCTGCAGCCTTCTTCCTCCCTCACTATCTACACCTTTCCATGCCTTGGGTCCTCTCATCTCTTCCATCCCTCTTTCTCCCTCTCATTCTCTCCCTTTTTTCTCACTTATCTTCCTCTCTCTAACCCCCCCCCCCCTCCCCCACAATCTCTTTTCTTCGCCACATCTTTTTCCTCATATGTGTGAGCACCACGAACATTGATGTTTGTGCCCTTATCTCAACAAACCTACATGTAACAATCACAAGTTTCCTTACATTTGTTCACAGTCTCTTCATGTTTGGCAGTCAGTTCATCTCTTTGTGAGCTCAGCACTGTCATGTGTGTATCACTCAAATCGTGTGTCAGCTTCTCATGATCTTCCCTTTCCTTCTGGACACTCTCCTCTGCTGCCTTTGTTTGCTGTGTTGCCTCCTCTTTCTCCTGCATCATCAGGTCTAAGTCTTTGCCCAGTGTTGCTTTCTGGGAGTTCAGTTCAGCTGCAAATGACCAAACATGATAAATAAACTCACAGAGAGTAATAATTATTAATAATTATTGCCAAACGTTATCTATGTTCAATTCTTATACAGGGTCAGCGAGATCAGTTGCCTGGACTATTATTATAAAAGAAGGAACAGTAAACATCCACAAGACCCCATCAGCAAACTCAACAAAAAGCAACAAACAACAATTTTCTGTTTACGAACAAGACACTGCAGGCTGAACTACCACATGCATAAAATAAAGATTGTACAGTCCCCACAGTGTGCCTGTCAAACAAGACCACAAACACCTGAGCACATTCTGCAGACCTGCCCACTCTACCTGCAACTTTGAAAAGACATCTGGCCTCAAGAGCAAAGTGTGCAGTGCAAGCTATAGGGAACCATGAAGGACCTGCTACTGACATGCAAGTTCTTAGAGGCAATCCACCTGATGGTCTGATCTGAGCATATGAAACCAAATGTAAAGAAGAAGATAAAAGAAGTATTTAAAGGATATACTCATGTGGTATCTTAAATTGTTCAGACAATGTTGAAGTTTTGTTTGATCTTGGGTGACTGTGAGGCTTAAAACCGTGCCCAGAAGATAAGGTGCAGATGTGGATAAACAAAAGAGTAAAGTAAATTATATTTCACTGAAACAAAAATAATCAAATACACAAGCTTTAGAAAGAATGAGATTGCTAAAAGAAAGATAAAGATGGAGAAATGAATATATGTTTTTTTCTTAACTTATACCTGTGCTGTCAGTGAAACTCTGTGGAATTCACATCCACATTAGGTCATTAACTACCACAAGACAAAGATACACATAAATAAACAGAGAACCCTTCAGGCTGTAGAAACAGTGTAAATATATATATATATATATAAAAGCTAAACAAATCGTTTATAAATTAATATTAATAAACACAGAGATATGCTCACAGAAACACACACACACCTATCTGCTCAGCATAATCCTCCAACTGTCTCTGCACATATTCTAGTTTCTGGGAAAGAGTGGGGCACTCAAAGGCATTCAGCTGTAAATGAAAGTACACAAGAGTGATGTTTTTTAAATATCTGTTATCTTCATTTCATTATCATGTTTATCATCAGGCAGAGCTTACAGACAATTCTTTAATTTCATTCTATCTTGTGCAATTGTTCAATTGCATGTGTGAAATTTAGTTTATATCTTTAGCCTCAATCAATTTTTGCTTAAATTACAAAAAAAAAGATTTAACAAAACAAAAATGTCAGACCTTGTATGTTTTTAATCTTATCTCCATGTATATCTTTTTTCCTCTTCAAATCAATCAATGGAATCAACTTTGTTTCCTGTGTGAAGTGTACTATTTTCTACAATGTGTTTCCACAGAGTATGACATTAGGGCTGTGTCACCAGTTTTCTTCTTCCTCCTCAACATTCCCAACACTTGAGGTTCATTGCTGCAGATATCACCTGCCTCCATTCATCTCTCTGGTTGGTCTTCTCTTTCCAATTGGTGACACCAAGTGTCACCAGTCATAGAAAAGAAATATATACCCCTGCAATTTGTTAAATTTAGTCCAAGTGCCATTAAATATAGTAATTTGCAAATATAAATATCTGATAACAAACAATAAAACAAAAACTCTATTTAATCCAACTATAATCAAGATGTATTGATCAGATATCATTGTTTAACAATGTCACTGCAAGAAGACTAAATCAAGTCACTTCAGGTTGTGGCAGTCCCGTAAATGGCGATATATTTACCTACTTGCAGTGACCTGTTCTCAAAAAATGTAATTAAATTCCACTGACTCTATGTGCAACTGCACACTGTTTAATAGACCATGATATAAATGAATGCAGTAGCTAAAAATAGCATTTGAGGGGTTTTTCTATGACCCAAATGGCTTTTCAAAGCCAAGGTGATGTAAAATTATCCTGTAAGCTTCATTGATAGAGGTCATGGGTTCACGGTATGAATCATGCAATACATATTATTTTTTAGGCTATGCAGAATGTATTAAATTTAATGCTTCACTCTGTTCATAATTCTTGATCACACCTTTTTTTATATCTTTAAATATGCCAAAAATATTTTAATATAGATATATAAAAAGAAATATAAATCTGTAAAACCTTTGTTAATAACCTATGTAAAACTGAGTTGTTGTTTTTCCAATTTCTTTCTTTTAAAAGACTTGTTCCCAGGAATTACATGGGTTCATAACTCATTTATTGTTTCATTCATGGGGAGAGAGGGTTAAAATACTTCTACTACTCATAGAAAGACATCTGTAAGCTGTACATGGTACTGTGTTGAACAGAAACAGATGCAGGAAATGGCCATTCATTGCACAATTCTTATGGCTACTTCTAAAAGCCCTGAATAATTAGTGGTTCTTCTATACAGTTTGACCAATACAGTTTTCACATACACAGGACACACTATGGACCAAAGGGATATTTTAGACCTGAGAGTAAACCTCACTTAGCTTAGCCAGCCAAACAGTAAGTACCAACAATATCTCATTACTGCAATATTTAAGCCACCCCCCCCCCCCCCCCCCTCCACCACCACCCAAACTGCCCAAAAGGTTAAAGTTGAGAGAATCAATTTTACTATACCGAGTTTAATCCTAAATGGCTTGCTCAAATCAGCTAACTGCTTGCAAAAAGTGGGTAACAAAGCACAAACACCATAGCTCCAGCAATGATCTCCAGGGGTATCCATAAAACTTACATTCATGAGCCAAATGACCTAGCTGTGAAACGAACCCATGAACTTCAGAGCGTGAGGCAAACAGCATGTCATAAGAGTTGACTAGCTGGGAGCATCTTTCAATGTCAGAGTGCATCTGCCTGAGAGGCGAGGAACCAACAATCTGCATACACATAAGTCAGATCTGTAAAACAGGTGTGCACGCAATACCCAGGTACTGCCTCATGAACAGCCGATGAACATGAAAATGAAGAAGAAGAAAAACTTTACCAAGGAAGCCTCTCCCCCCCCCCTTCCCCCCCCCCACCCCCCAGTTAAGGTTAAATACCATTGATAACACAAACTCATTACTGCAGTAGTTCAGTATCAGTAAAAACCCTAATTGTAAGCAGCGGCTAGCCAAGTGGTTAAAGATGCTGGTCTTTCATGCAGGAGAGCCAGTTTTAAATCCTTGGTAAGGTGTTATGGTTTTTTTTATTTTTTTATTTCAGGGGCAAAACTGAACTAACTGGCATAGTCCATGAACACAACAATAGCCATGGGACCCTACATTTTTTAGGCTCTTTGCCTACAATGCAAAAAATTGCTTTATATATAGCAAAGAAAGATTTTTTTTTTTTTTATTGTGTGGCAAACCGTACCCCCTTGTTGCAGTAGTTAAGTAACATCAAAACCATACCTCATTACTGCATTAGTTTAGCACCAAACATTCCATACCTCATTACTGCAGTAATTAGCCAGGATGGCCATGGCATCGAAAGCTTGGATTGTGGTCTCCAGCTGCAGCTTCAGCTGAACAACCTCTTCGGCTTTTGCCTCACAGAGTAACTCCAGCTGTTCAAAATCCTTCCTGGTGATACTCTTGCTGGAGCTCCTGGTGGAGTGGATGTTGCTAGATGTAACATTCCTGGTGACTTTAGAAGCAGATGTGGATGCTTTCTTGGTCTGATCTGTTTTATGATAGTAAAATACATGTTGTAGTAATAATTCATTTACAGAGTATGCTTTGGAAGGTAGAAGCATGTAGATTACATGGAGTAACCAATGTATAGTAGGCTACATGTAAATTAGTCCTGACTTATCATCATGAACTTTATCTGGGCTTTTGTTTTTCTGACAATATGCAGTGGTAGAAACTACTTCAGGCACAGTTTTCTTTTTTTTTTTTTTTCAGAACTAATGCAATGGACATTTTGCAATCAGTACCGGTATCTTTTTAGAAGCTTTGTTGTGAGTACAGGCACCCTTTTTTTCCAGAAAAGAAAAAGCCTTCATCATAACCTTTAAGAGTTTTGCAGATTGGCCTGATCGATTAGGCCTCTCCAGAACCTGCGATCTCTAACAGTATTCATCTGCTCATGTGCTGATATCCCTCCTTGCCATGAAGAAATGGTGTCAAGAATATTCTCGCATTGTCTTCCTCTGGTTCTCTTTCCACAAATTTTTCCAGTGGTCACAAGTTCCAGTTTCCTGCCTCTCAAGTGGTCACACATTCCAGTTTTCTGCCTCTCAAGTGGTCACAAGTTCCAGTTTCCTGCCTCTCAAGTGGTAACATGTTCCAGTTTCCTGCCTCTCAAGTGGTCACAAGTTTCAGTTTCCTGCCTCTCATACAACAGCCAATAAATGAAAATTGTTTCGCTCTGATGTTTGTGACAAGTTGTATTCAAGTCAACACTTCTTTCAACACATCTAGGATACTCATTCTGGCTGTCCAAGCAATATTTTAGGCCTTCTTCTGTAAAACCACACGTCTGAGACCTCAATAAATTGTTTAGCTTGTTAATGAATTATCTAGGGTTAATTTTAAAACAACTCTATATCATATACAAGGTTTGTTTTTCTAACCTCCTATAACATGGATTTACCAAAAAAGATACACTTTATTTCATAGTTGAATCAGTATGGATTTTCTGTCTAAGACATACACGTGTTTGGAGAAGTAAGTAGGTGATAAACTAGCTGCTGCTATTTTTGTAGGGGTATGCTACTTTATGATGAGTAATGACGACCTGGTAGAATCTCTTTAGAGCAGAGACAATTCAGCAGAGGCTGGTTAGACTGAAATCACTCAAAGAGAAGGGAAACAGCAGGCTCATTTTGAAACAGATTGCCACTGGTACCATCATGGTGAGATGATTTGGTACTTTATTCGTTATTCATTCCAAACAGAAGAAATCCCAGAGTTCCCTAGAAAGTCTAAAATTCTAAAGATATTTTGGGTAGAGCTTAGGGTTAAGGTCAGATTTAGAGTTAGGGGTAGGGTTAGTTGGTGTCTCTGAGACGGTCGGAACTGACAAAGATCCTAACCTCCCTCCTTTTTTTTAAAAGTTTTCCCCCTCCAGATCTGCATTATGTGGGATTAACATCAAACAACTACAAATATTGGAATCTCTACAGCTAAAAAAATATAATTAAAGTAATAGCATGTGCATCCTTTAATAATAGATTAAGAACACATTCTGACCAAAATGTATTTCTGTATTTTCTGTTCTCTTATTGCGGAATCTATATTAACTATTCACCCCCTTGTAGGATGCAATTTTTTGTTATTTTGAAGCCCCACCCTAGCTCTTGCCAGGGGCCGCCGAATAACCTGGCCATAAATATGGCCTAATGGCTAAACGCGGTTTCCGGGACCTCTCCACGGGTGATCCTTATCCACATGGTGGCACTTTGTGTCATCGGTGTTTATCGCTTGTGTGATGTTCTAGTGGGGTAAAATGTACTACTATACGGAATCTATTGCCCTCCATTTTTTATCACATTTTGTTATGTTGGGGTGGGGGGTCTTGTCATATAGTCAAGGGGCAGTGTTGGGGTCATGTCATATACTTGGGGGGGGGGGGAGGGGGGGGGGCGCCTTGAACTAAACCAGCTCACACCATCATTTGCTATCAAACTCAGCTCACTGCATGTCCCCATTTTCTTCACCTCATTCTTTATTTCTATTTTTATGTTTTTTCTTTTGATCTGGCTTTAGTGCTTTGACCTTGTGGGTTCCAGTGAAATGACATTGTATTTTCTTTATCATTTTGTTACGGCAACTTTTTTAAATTTTGCAGGAAAAATTGCTGGAAAGAATCCTAACTCTTTGCTGGGCTCCTTACCTTATTACTGATTAAATAAAAATTATGACTGGGATGCTTTGAAAAAAGGAAAGACATACAGACAAGAAGAAGACATTTTGAGCAAAGCATTTATCAAGGAGCAAAACAACATTAGTGGGTTATAGTGGCTTCTCGAATCATATTAGTTACACATAATGCAAAAACATGTGTTGAAAACTTACAGACTGAGGCTTGGGTGACTTTCTTCAGACCTTCACCTGATTTACTGAACTGATCAGCTGAAGATTTGGGTTTCTGCAAGTTAAAAAAAAACACGATTTTGAAACAAAAATTAACAGTTGGTCTTTGTCAGTAACAGTGATGGGAAAATAAAAAAGGAAAGTAAAGACATTAATACCTAGAAGGTTTATCCATTTGGATGGGTGAAGACTAGAATAACATTGAAAGGATGATTATAATAGGTTGGATACGATTCTGGAGAGTATCTATCACTGTATCCCAGGGGGAAAAAAGACTAAGGATTATCATAATCTCAGAAATGGAAGGAGTAATACTACCACACATTGATTACTTTGAGACACAGAGAGTGTGGTGGTTTGGTCATCTAGTGAAAATAAAGCATGCAGAGCTATATGTCTATGCCTACAACTGTACAACTGTAGAAGAATGGATTAGAGAGTATAATGAAAACCAAGCAGCAGATGAATTAGCAATGAAAGAAAGTTACAGCAAATGTTTCCCTGTTGAAAATTTGAACAAGGATGGAACAAACAATAGATTGCACAGTTTATATCCCGGCATATTTTGTGACAGGGAGCCATCATGGTCTAGTGGCTAGATGCTCACCTGTGGATCGGAAGATCATGGGTTTGGGTCCAGACAGAAGCCAGACTTTTGTCAAAAATGACCTTGGCTCCCACATCGACCCAGCCTTGAGTGGGCACCAGGTACAGTCCTGATAGGTAAAGGTGACCAGCGTGATGCTGACCACTTCACCCACCAAGAGCTGTTTGGTCTATAAAATATAGGTCTAGCCCTATATACCCAATAAGCCTGAAGGCGTAGAAAAGGGTCCTTTACTTTTTATTTTGTCAAATTATTTCCGTTCAGATTTGTGCAAACTAAAGATATTATCATGAACCTGTGCCTGCTCTAGTAAAAGAAAATAGCAAATGGCAAAACTGTCAGTCAATAATTTGTGCCTTCTTTGTTCAAATAAAATAAAATAGAATTGAAACTTACTTCACTGCAATCTTCTTTATTTCTTCTTTTGTCATCTCACTGATACCAGTTTGTTGCCCAGTGTTTTGGTTTTCTGTATTTGTCTTGCACTTGAATGGTGGCTTGGGTGGTGGATTTGTTCATCTTTTTTGCAGGTTTAAGCTACACCATTTATCCGTCTCTTTCTTAGTCTTCCTCTCGCCTTCCTCCCAGATGTTCTACTGTAAAAAGTCTCATATGCAGATTGGTCTGGCTGAACCATTTCATTCTTTGTCTGTCAATGTAATCCAGACAAGGTCTTATTCCAACTTTCTTTCTAATGCTGGTACTCATAACCCTGTCTCTTCTTGTGTTGTTAGTGACCTTGCGGAGTCAGCACATTTCACATGTAGTTATTTTCTATCCTAGTGCCCTATTAATTGTCCATGTTTGGCACTGATAACATAAAGTAGGGATAAAGATGTTATAAATCATTGGCTGTTTTGTTAGAAGGGAGACATATGAGTGTTTAAGCAGTGGGACTAATTGGTAGTTGACAGGTGGTATTCACAAGAAATACTGAATGCATATAGGACTGTTGTAGTTTAGAAAATTGAATATAAGCTTACTTCAGAATTCTCTAGCTTGACACTGTGAAGACTTGATCTGCGACTGTCCTTCTTGGTGTCTGCCGCACCACTTTTTGATGATATGCCTGATAAAACAAAGCATGTATAAGACATTCTCAAGACAACATACTGGTCTTCTAGAATTACTGTGTAGGTATGAAACAATGTTGACAAACAGACATAGACACTCAGACACACAAGCAGAGAATGACATATCAACAGACAGGCATTCATACTGATGAACAGATCCACAACAAGCAGAATGAACCAAAAGGATGTGCAGCCAGAAAATAGATATTCAGACCGACAAGCAAATATTCAGACAGACAAGCAGAATAAAGTAAGTATCAACAGACAGACATTTATACAGACAAGCAGTTAAACAGATCCATGAACAGCAGGTGAAACACAATTTAAAAATTAGATACGACTCTGGACAGACTGACATTTCCATGATACCCCTTTCTAGGGGTCATAAGCTTTCACCTCTCTTCACTGATCTTGCTCCTTGATTTTCTAGAACAAATATATTGATTGTCAGGCATCCTTTGTCAGTTATCTCTGGCTGCTTAAAATATTCCCAGTTAAGCTAGTTGTCTATCATTTACAAGACGTTGCTTAGCCAAGCATTTTAAGTTCAGTAAGTTGCCATTGCTCTCTAAAGGACAGGGTTTTTTTTTCTGGCAGTACACATTACTGACACCTTCTTAAGGCATCCTTTTTCAGTAGTGTTGTAATAGATAGACACTTTCTGGTGTGCAGTAGAACCTATTTATAGATATGGTGCAGTTGTGTCTATAAAAAAAAAAACTGCATATATATGTATTTACTGATATCAAATTACTCTTTTTTTTCACCCCCCACCATCTCCCCCAAATAATAGAATGAAAGATCTGCACAGTGACTTCTACTGCTGCTGCTACTGCTAATATTAATACTACTACTATTTCTTCTTCTTCTTCGTTTTCTTCTTCTTCACCATTTTGTGGTTTATTGATGTATGATGAGCTAGATGTTGTGAGGGTCCTCTGGGGCATTTGAACAGTGTTGAGGACAGTGGGGAGGACAGTGCGGAGGGCAGTGCGGAGGACAGTGCGGAGGACAGTGCGGAGGCACAGATAGACCATTACGATCTGAGGATAATGGCGCTACGAGGAGTTACCAGGGGATCTGGCTCAACATTCAGGGGAAAGGCGAGATGGATATACAGTCAGATATATAGTCAAACAGTTATTGGTGCTATCGGAATTGGAACTTCTCGCTTGCTGCTGAAGATGGGGATGGAGCGCTTATGGGAATGTGCCGAGTGCTGTGATATCAATTCAACATTCAATATTTGTCTTCTTATTCTTCTTCATTTTCTTCTTCTTTGTTTTCTTCTTCTTTGTTTTCTTCTTCTTCTTCTTCTTCTTCTTCTTCTTTTTCTTCGTTTTCTTCTTCTTCTTCTTCTTCTTCTTCTTCTTCTTCTTCTTCTTCTTCTACTACTACTACTACTACTGCTGCTTCTGCTGCTCCTGCTGTTACTACTACTACTACTACTACTACTGCTGCTGCTCCTGCTGCTGCTGCTGCTGCTCCTGCTGCTGCTGCTACTGCTACTACTACTACCACTACTACTTCTTCTTCTTTTCTTCTTCTTCTTCGTTTTCTTCTTCTTTGTTTTCTTTTTCTTCTTCTTCTTCTTCTTCTTCTTCTTCTTCTTCTTCTTCTACTTCTTCTTCTTCTTCTTCTTTGTTTTCTTCTTCTTTGTTTTTTTTTTCTTGTTCTTGTTCTTCTTCTTGTTCTTGTTCTTGTTGTTCTTCTTCTTCTTCTCCTACTACTTCTTCTTCTTCTTTGTTTTTTTCTTCTTTGTTTTTTTTTCTTGTTCTTGTTCTTCTTCTTTTTCTTCTTCTTCTTCTACTACTACTGCTGCTGCTGCTGCTACTGCTACTGCTACTATTACTACTACTACTACTACTACTACTACTACTACTACTACTACTACTACTACTACTACTACTACTACTACTACTACTACTACTACTACTACTACTACTACTACTACTACTACTACTACTTCTACTACTACTACTACTACTACTACTACTACTACTACTACTACTACTACTATTACTACTACTACTAATACTACTACTACTGCTACTACTTCTTCTTTTCTTCTTATTCTTTGCCTTCATGGCTGTGAATTCCGGCAATAATTTCTTACTGTTCGTCCACATTTGAACTTGTGTCTTGTTTCACAACATGCGCGCACTTCCATTTCACAGATCAGGCTGATTTAAATGGTGATTTCCCGCGCCTCTCAAGCAAATGAACGCCGACTTCGAAGGAAACACCCACCCCTAATTAGTCGCCTTTTTCGACATGCTTTGTTACGGGCGCAGTGGGTCTGTTCCTTTTTACACAAAAATTGGGTCCCGAAACCCACGGGAAAGGTGGGGGGGGGGGGGTGCTTATCTCAGTGAAGTCAGTTATCTTTCAACCTAACTGCTTAACAATGATTAACAAGTGTAACGCTTTGGAGCCCCACTAACAGTATACGACCACCTATGCCTGTTTGTGTCAGCAGGTGTTTGACAGAAACATACAGCACGTTCAGTGAAATACGAATATGATTTCACATCAAGATCAATCTGTTGTGTGTCGTGTGTGCAATAATGTCTCATAAAGCGGGGACGTTGAAATCTGTGGGCGCAGACACTTGGACACTCCCCGCCCCATCAAATATTTTTTTTAAGAAAAGGAACAGTAGAGACGCAAGAAAACTGGCGAGAGACTAAGTTCTTTTCTTACAGGCAGTCAAGAGTGACGTTTTGTCAAGGGCCTGCTACATGAAGATGATGGATGTTTGCTTGTCATTGCTGTAGTGTTTTGCCGGATGAGATAGTCAACGACAAGCCTAATCCTTTCCTTAGTAGTCAGTATATGACCCTTTTCCACGCTTTCAGGGGCATGGGAATATAGGGCTAGACCTATATTTTATAAACCAGTCGGCCCTCCGTGGGTGACGTGGTCACATCAGACCGGTCGCCTGTACTTCCCAGAACAATACCTGGTACCCGCTCAAGGCTGGATGGACCTGGAAAACATCCAGCTTTTTTCAGGACCAGAACCCACGACCTTCCGATCCATAGACAAACGTCTAGCCGCTACACCACGGGGGCCCCCGGTCGCCAAGTGAGCATTATTCTAAAAAAAAAGGTGAGACAAATAGGGCGGCGATGAACAGGTGTGTGTGTGTGTGTCGCTACATGGCACAGGGCCAATATTAAAGAGACCAAGCTCTGGTGGATCGATAATGACTCTAACAATAATTTTTTTTAACGCATTCATCATCGAGCACTTTGCCGACTGCCAAGAGCCTTCGTGTTTCTCCAGAATCTTCTATCTTCAACAGTATGTATCAGTTCATGTGCTGAAACCCCCCCCCCCCCCCTTTCCACCACCCTACTCCATACCACGAAAAAAAGGCTGTGAAAAATTGTCTCGCATTATCTTCCTCTGCTCCTTTTTTCCCCACAGATCTTTCCAATTGTCACAACATGATCCAATTTTCTTCTTCTCATAGAATGACTTAAAACAGGATGCCAGTTTGCCTTTTTCTATCGTCTGTGATAAGTTGTCTTCAAGCCCTCGCCTTTTTCAGAACATCCGGGTTGCTCTTTTCGACTGTCCAATGAATTCTAAGGATTGTTCTATAAAGCTAAATCTCCGAGGTCCCAGTGTGTAATTACTGATGTGCTTAATTATAGCTTACAGTTCGAGGTTTTTGAGTTGAGTTGAGTCAAAAATTGACATTACAGCACTAGGCGCATTTCCGTGCGTGCTCCGTCCTCATCTTCAGCAGCCAGCGCAGAGTTCCAATACTAATGGTACCGGTCACAATTTGGGTAATGTACTCTCGTTCTTATGGATATGACCATGGATGATGACTGGCTCATAGACAGCATTATTTCTCGAAAACAGAAGTGCTACGATCATATTAAGCGTCATTATAGTTTGGAGAGAACAGAACTGTAAGATAGTATGGGTCCCGAAGGAAGAGGCAGGGGTCGACCAGCACGACAGTGAATATCTGATATCAATGTCACCCTCGGTATGAAAGTTTATGAGAGGGAAAGTTGGCAGGGACGGCGTGACAAGTGTGCCGTGACAAGGGCGTCTTTCTGCAAATGACTTACTAATACAAATATTACTTGAAAGCGGTGGGAGTTTTAATAATTTCGTCAATGAAAATTGCTACTCATTTTCTGCTTTTTCATCTTTCTTCTTCTTCTTCTTTGCGTTCACCAGCTGTACACTCTGGCGGAAAGTTCTGGTTGCTCGTCCACTACTGAACTGCAGTCCTGCTCCAGAACCTGAGTGTTGCATGTGCATCAGTTTTACAGATCTCATTCTCTTGAATATAGACTGTTGGTTCCTTGCCTCTCCGGCAGATGCACTCCGACTTCAAAGGAAGCTCCCCAATTAGTCGACTCTTACGGCATGCTTTTGGGGAAGCAGTGGGTCTATTTTTGTTTTCCTCACAATGGGGTCCCGCAACCCACACGGGGGTCTTCATCTTTGCGTTCATCGGCTGTAAAGTTTGACAGAAAGTTCGGGACTTTAGTCTTGTGTTCCCCCCCCCCCCCCCAGAATCGAAATGTTTAGTGCAAATCAGTTCCTTGCATCTGGGGCAGATGCACTCCTACTTCAAAGGTCAACCCATCCTTAAATGGGTACCAGGTGAAGTCCTAGGAAGTAAAAGCGGCCGGCGTGATGTTGATCCCATCATCTATCATTGGTCTATACAAATGTGACTGTAGTCGCATATGCCGAATGCGCCACTTGCATGCAAAGAGACATTTACCTCACTACTTAAGTCAATGACTGTACAGGGGCATAATACTTCCTAAATACGGGCGTAAATGTAATCTTTGAAATCACTAACATTTGAACTCACTATAATAGTAAGTTAGTTAGTAAGTAGAGATCTCTTTTCACACCTTTAGGCGCATCGGGCATGTGGGAAGATCAATCATATTTTTACAGGCCAAACGGCACTAGGTGGGTAATGTGGTCAGCATTACGCCGGCCGTTTTTGCTT